ACCACAGGAGCGCTCCAGCTGGCTATCACCAGTGACCAGGCTCCAAGTTCAACATTGCTAATTTTCCAATCAGGTCATTTAGCAATTAATAAAGGTCATCAACCTGACTGATACCAATTTAATTGAATGCCAGAGAGCCCAGAATATATTCTGTAATACAAAGTTTCACTTCTATAAAAGTCTCATTTTGCATGGGTTGATGAGGATTGGATAGGCACAAATCACTTTGTTTAACTTGGGTGGTTTCAACCTTGTTTGTTTTTTACTTGAAGTGAAAGGAGAAACAGTTTGCTTCAAAATTTACAAACAGGGGGTTGGTGGGGTGGGGTGGAACCTAACCAAAACTTCTGTGTGATTGTGAATCAGTATGACAAGTTTCTCCCCAAAACCAACTCTTCATATTATATGTCATCATATCATCAAAAAGTCTATAATGGAGATGTACTCAGTGCAGTGGAAACCCTTCAAAGCTCTTTTGATAAATCTGCTGCCATAAGACTTTCCCTCATGACTTTTTTCATGTAAAATATGTAAACAGTATTACAAAAATCTTACATCTAAAATTGATAATTCAAAGCACTTTCTCATGCTTGTCACAATAATAATAAATTATGTCATTTTTTTTAGCTGTAGTTGCCCAGATGTTTTTCTGTTGTAGATTATAATTTTATAACCACCCGGTATTAAAACAGGATATATGACAGGGTAAAACGTGTACTTTAGAAAGTATATGAGATATGATAGAAGAAACTTCCTCTATCCTTTTTTTCCTAAAATCTTATCAGATTCCTCTGGCTTCCAACTTCATCATGGCCCTAAAATCCAGAAATCATTCTTCCTTCTTCATATGTTTTAAAATTTCTAAAAGAATTCGATCCTCTTTATACAAAAATGTATTATATCAATGCTAAATAAAATCCGTACACATTTTACTTAACAATGAACAACGTTACCTGCTGTAAAGGAGTGATTGTCCAAACACTGGATCCAATTTATAGCCTTCTGTGACAGAGGAAGACTTCCATCAATGCCCAAACTTCTGACTGGGGCTACTCGATCCTAAACCAATGGTGTTCTCACATTAATGAACACATGTAGTTTTAATATGGAATTACCATCCTCAATTCAAATTGAGTATGAAAGGGGTATATCAACACTTCAGATGGTTTTGCTTTTGAAGATCCTTATACATTTTCAAGAGACTAGTAGAGAAATTATTACATGTAGCTAGTAGCTGATTCTCTCTAACCATAATTACGTTTATGTAGAGCAATATACTGTAGCTTCATTTTTACAGTGAAAATGGAGAACTAGTTTTGTTTTATACCTATGTCATGTAAGCATCCTACCAATATTTAGGTGCACATCCATACACACTTCTATATCTACCCATCTTTGGATTATTTAACACAAATTTCCTAGGAAACTATAACCTTCCACACATTGCCGTGTAAAAACCAAACAAAACCCAAAACAACAAAAAACCCCACAAACAACAACCTGTTCCCCACCACCACCCCAACGTTTTTCAAGGCAGTTCAGCTATTCAACAAATGCTCAATAGCATTTGTGTTTCAAATGGACTTAAATGCAGTATTACCGTTTAGCCATAATAATTAAATTATCATCTGGCCAATCTTGTTTCTAAAAGTCTCCTAACTTTTCATCAGTTGCTAGAAAAAAAGAAAAAATCTTTAAAGGAATGGGCATTCCTAAAATACTGCCTGTAGTGTTCAATGAGTATCTGTGCCAGCAATGACATAATTAAATTAAGTAGCAACAAAGCAGGCAGATTATAGACTTGCTGTCATTTAAAGTATTGTCTCTGTATAGACAGAAAACTTGCTTAAAAAAACAAAAACAAAATAACAAAACAAAAAACCCACAAAAACCCAAAATGTTTTTTCATCTATAAATTCTGTTAGTTTTTTCCTGACATCCTTTAAATCACAAATCCAATAATATTATAAATTATGTAATATTTGGAAAATTACTTTAGGCCCCTGGGCTTCACATTGAACTGCTGTCTGAAGAAAAAATTCAAATTGTTTATACAGAGAAATAGAAGATATTTTTGCCATCATCGTTGATCTTGTAAAATATTTTGTGTGAAATTAGGCAGATTATTTAAAAACATCCAGTCAAACTCTGTATGAAACTCCTTTTTTTTTTTTTCTTGAAACCTTCTTCCTCGCTTGCCTCTCTCATTAACCCAGTAGATTTCCGTAGTGAGCACCACCCTGAGCCTACTTACATCAATGACTTTTATGCCATTAATTTCAATGGAAGCAGGATGTGGTCCAGTAAATTATCCTCCAGCATGGTCCACTCAGTATTACGTTAGACCATGGCAATAGTGAAAAGAAAGCTCCTTATGAATTTAACTCTTTAAAACGTCCATTCTTTTGTTTGCAATGTAAGTTACTACTATTCTTCATCGATGTTCTAAAGGTTTCTTAAATTATCAAAAAGGTTCTCTCAAGAGGTAAGTCTTCTAAGGCAATATAGTCACCATTAAACCCTTTAGAGACATCCTAAATATTGAGGAAAATACCAATAATCCAGTAGAGTTAATTTGGCATAATTGTAAATAATTTGATGACCACTGCATGAGTCATTTTAATATTGCTTAACTCTTTGGACCATCTGAAAAAGGTACTAGTGCTGGATTTTGAGGACTGCAGTTGAGCTCCTAGAAAACAAATCCAAAAGAAAAGTTCTTGTATGTAGCCTGTAGCTTTTCCTCATCAGCTCTGCTATTCCTCTGCTTTGAATGAATTCATGCAGTCATCAATGCCCTTTTACTTCTCATCTTCCATGACTACTATACCATGAGATTTCCAAAGTCAACATATACTGTTTTCTAGAATCTATAATACTTCCCCAAGAGCAAGTTTACTTGGCAGTTATAGCAGTCAACTCCTTTTTGTCATGAAATGCCAGGGTCCAGGAGCTAACTGGGATTGCAAGAGAGCCAAACACACAGACACATACATATAATACTCAAACAAGTAGACCTTGCCACCAAGATTTGTAATGTATTCTGAGGCTTGGTCACCACAATGCCATGTGCCAAATGATTTTTCGTATTCTCACACTTAGCTTGGATTAACACCACGGTTTTTTCCTCCCTATCATAATTTCACTTAAACTAATGTAGTTTTACTTTGGCATTCTTTAAGTAGTATCCAAATCATACACCTTCTCTGCTGTATTCTCATGAATACCAAAGCTGTAGAATAAATATTGTTGATGTGTGTTGGCAAAGTGCTTTTATACTTGGATTCCTCATTAAATTACATTCAATTTTAGTTATAATGAGCATAATCCATTTGATACTGTTGACCCAAATTCCCCTGAGGAAAGCTGAAGTTCTGAATTGATATTTGCATCTCTGAGTCAACTGAGTAATGTTCAAAATCACGTCAGACTTCAAATCTGAAAAATATCCTTTTCCGATGTTATTCTATGGGTTGTGACTAAATGTATTCCTGCAGTGCTTTACAGCTGTTGGTGCACTTTAATTTTTCCACTTCCCTAGCTTAAGTGACACTTTACTTATCTGTACCGTATCTCTGTAAACGTCTTATGAGAACACTGACCATCAGGAAGCAGAAACACCTTTCTGAAACTCATCCCTGGGTGTTTTTTCTGAAATCATATTTCTTCTCCCTGTCACGTTCCTTATTCGTTCTTCTTCTGCAATAAATTGTTATTTCTCTCCTTATTAGAATTCTTTCCTGTCATTCATCATGTCATGTGTACCTTTTGCTTGAGAAAAGGAACAAAATCCCAGACGACTTCAGGGAACCTTTAACTCTTTTCCTTTCTCACAGTGCAGAAACTAGAGAACTCCGCTCAGAGTGTTGTCTTCTTTGGGAGAGTTTCGTTGATTTGTTTCATTCAGAGTTTTGGGGTCCTTCTGGAGAAATGGGCTACTTGGAAAGATGGAATTACCAGTATTGTGAGTGCTACTCTCATTTTGATAAGTAGAGCATCTGGACAAGGAAGTCTTTGAATTTTTTCTCAAGTTTGGTATGAAAATTATATAACAGACAACAGGGACCTTGGAAGATTCTGGAGAGGAAACAGTTTTATTAAGTCATTGCAGAAGATCAACTATACATTTCAAAGCATGAGTTTATGATTTCATTTGACCTTTGAACAAGCTAGCTGGATCCCCATGCTCACAATGATAGCACATGCAGAGCCTCTGCAGAGATGAAGTAGTCCTAAAACTTGCATACATAGTTCTTTTTTCATGTATCATTGGAGGCATGGGATTAGCCCTGTAAAATAGATCATGTAAATTTGCAGGTACAAAAATGATGACTTGCACAGCAATTGCTAAGAGGTAAAGATCAAGCCATGAATCTTGCTCATCTGTTTGTGAAGCTCTTTGGGATAACTAAGAAAAACCAATATACTTGAAGATTAAGTCAGTAGGACAAACTTTGTAAGTTTGTTGCCTGGGACTGCTGAGAAATACCACAAAAGATCTTTAAAAACAGGCCAAGAAAAAAACCTGTCAGTTTAGCTATATTGATCCTGCTTTTGATGTTAGGGAACAAAGTGGATGATTTCTTGATATCCTTTTGAGCTCTGTTTTCTATGATTCTAAATTCCCAGATGCATCCTTGGGATGACTCTCTATCTGTAGATTTTTGGGTAGCAAAAAATGTTATCAAATACAACCATGGCAGAACATGTACTTGTCTCAATCTTTTATTCCAAGTGAATATCCAATTAAACCATTCACTTCAGTATCCCGCTGGTTTTCTCATTTGTTGACTCACGCAGGATGAGGGCAGAAGAGTGCTGCTGAACATCTGATTACATCCTTGGCAATGGGAAAACTATATAGACAAACACCAAGAGTGCCAGCTCAGCATTCAAAACTTATATAAATAAAATACCAGAGGCCAAATTAAGCTTTTACTTTACTGTTTTCTTCAATCGGCAAATGCAAATATATTTCTCCATAATTTATGTCTTGACAGATGATAATGAATGTGAAAATGCTACTCAGCCTTGCGGAGAGCATGCCAATTGCACAAACACAGTGGGAAGTTATTTCTGCATGTGTGTGCCTGGCTTCAAATCCAGCAATGGTCAACAAACTTTTGTACCTAATGATGGAACCTCCTGCGTGGGTAAGTTATTAATGTCTGCCAGCTAGCTTTACATTGTCACTCTTCTCCTATTGCTTCTGTTAATTATAGAAATCTAGCAAAATGCTTTCAGATATGTGAAGTCTGGAGTCCGGATATAAAATTCCCACGACCTGGACTGGTGCAGACTTATTTTTCCAGTTCAGGCCCACACTTCTCACGGATAACACAGCAGCTGCCATTGCTTTCAGTAATACTTCAAACTTGAGTCTGCTCACAATATTATTAATCCACATGTCACCGTTTTAGACAATGAATATATAGTTAAGGTAACCCAGAAATCCCCAGTCCACCTATTTATGCCACTGTTTCACCGATCTGTGAGGAAGGTGGTCATATTCTTAAAATGAAGCAGAGTGAGAAAGTATTCTGCATTCATGCTCTGGACCAACAAAATTCCCTATACGTTTGACCCACTATGCTCCAAATATCTTTTGTCTGGGGGCTTTGGTTGGGATATTTTTGGTAATTTTTCAAGTCTGATCAAAAGCAATGAGCAATGTCAGTAGTTACCCTACCTCCTGTGCTATCCATCAGCCTCTGTTTCTGTAGCAGTTGGATGGAACATGTTCAAGATTACAGGGGAGGAAAAGTTCTCTGGAAAAATGTTATTTCTGAACAACTATGCAATCCTTTAGGACTTCCTTTGAATGGAAGAACTGTAACTATTTCTCTTTTTTCAAACTCCTGGTAATTTTCTTTGTATGTTGCAACAGTCCTCAGGGAATGGGAAAATGAGAAATAAATCTATTGCCCTTTACACCTTTATGCTGACTGTGTCTCATTCTAGATATGTCTCCTGTGAGCTTGTAAGTGCTGACAACCTCTCTTCTTACTGCTCTTAATATCAGCAGAATGGCTGCATATTAAGCCAGAAAGTGATCTAATCAACATTTCTTGCCCATTGCTCACATCCATCTAAAAGAGCTCTGCTTTATCCAGCTGCTATGAATCGTTCTTAAATTAGCTGGGATTGAGACTGTTAGCACATTGAGCTGTAAATATTCTCGCCATTTCTGGTCCAGGCTTTGATTTTTACATTATGACATTTCCTCAGCTTCAGAAGTTTTGTCTTCAAAGTTATTTCTCTGACTGTTCTTGTGTCACTTTTAGCTTTTTACCATTAGCTTGCTAATTTCTCTTTTTTTTTTTTTTTTTGCCCTCTTTTCTTTACTGGGCAGACTGATCTTTTTTTATCCTCTACTGGGGGTTAGCTTACCACTTTTCTCTTTTTTTGCAAATCCATATGGGAGGAGCTGAGAGCTTCCAAAACTCACACTGAAATAAAAAAATTACCTGTGGGCACCTTTTCTCATTAAACAAGTGTACCAATTACTTTACCAAGCAGTGAGTCCTAAAGACAACCTTTTGATCCACAATTAATTTCTACTTTATCTGTCAGGGAAACCATAATAGGATATTTTGTACCCGATGGATCTGCTGCTACAGGTAGTAGGCATGACTTGCACAGGAGCAGCTGATGGTAGCGTATTCAGTGTATTATACACAACTGAAGCAAACACCAAAGTTGTCATTGTAAATACAGTACAAGTTATCCAGTACAAATCAGAGGACAGAGCTATCCATCCTACCCAAGTTTTTAGGACCCCAAAATATTTTCAGATCTTGCAAATCCTTAAGTTTTCTTTTTAATATAGGTGTATAATGTACATGGCAGTAACTTTATAAATAGAGTGGTTGAATTTTGGACAGTATGCCATTATGCAACCTATTTATTTATGCCATCAAATCTGGAGTTCCCAGTGATGTAAGTGTGGCATATCACTCTGTGTGAATTCTTTCAAAGGTCATGTGCGTGCACATGTGTGTTCCTCCCCTCTTTGGATACTATACTAAACTTCTGAATTCAAAGTGATTATAACTCTCAAGGTACTGGATGAAAACAAAACTTGGGACGACGGCTTTGGGAAATGTCAGTTCACCCTTAATCCAACCAGAACGTTGAGTTTTGAGTTGAGGGTCAGCAGTGTTTCATCCATGTTATCAGGCAGAATTGATGAAGAGATAACAATGAAACATGCAGATAGAGGAGGAACTGGAGGGTAGGAAAGGAGAAAGAGAAAAAAAGGAGAAATGCAGAGATGTGATATTTCTGAAGATGATATTTTTCTGCTGTCCTGAATGTGAGCTATTAAAACCTATTTACTGTGTAAAAGCCATGCTTTTTCCTTAGACTTCACATTTTATTGAATGTTCAGCTGCAGATAAAAAGATGAAATATAAACCTACTTTTTTCACCCCAGTCAACAGAGTAAAAACGTGAAAATGGCCATCTGTAAAATGACAGTGACATCAGTGCCACTCTGCCTTTTCCAGGAATGTGCTATTAGTGTTCTTCAGGTATTTCTGAGAGCACTGAGAAGGCACCCATTCTCCATCACATCCTTTGCTGTGACAGGGGAGTTGTACAGTGGATGGGATATGGCATTACGCCACATTGCTAACTTTTCTTTTACCTGTGCCATTCGTAGGCTTTTTCATTTCTACTTTGTGTGTGCTGCTGCCTTCCACAGTATGGAGACACGGGGAGGGAACATCTAGTCCTTTGCAATTGGACTTTTCAATCACTTGCAAGCTACTAATAAGCAGAAGGTATAATGTAGACATCAAGCTGTCTTGACTGACTGGTGAAGAATCAAAGCAATGTAGGTACAATCCAGTAATTGGCAAGACTGAACATAATAACTGTTCTCAGTACTTTTAATTTAATTGGAATTTCCTTGCCTGCTGCAGTAAATGAGGAGTGACAAAGCACAGAAATAAAATAAAAGGTTATAAATCTATTTTCACACTAGCCTACGTGGTGCTGGTGATATTATTTTTCTGATCAGAGCTATTATAAAAGCTTCAAAGTTCAGCTCCAGGATTTGTTTTGAATATTTACTAAAAGGCCAGGGCTTTTTGCAGAGCTATGGCAAGTGCTCTTCTGTTTAAAAAGCTGATGTTGCTCAACCTTTGCTCAGGAATGCTGTCTGTGAAGACTGCTCACGCAAGCCTTGGCAGCCCACTCCCACTCCCATAGTATATCAAGGAGAACGGTTTGAGATCCTCGCCCCAAAGCTCCACTAAAATTGGATTGCTGAAAGCACTGACAAGCTGTTGTCTGTGTGTTGTCCAACAATCGCATATTTGGTTAAAAAGGCCTAAGTATGGAATATAAAGAAACAAAAACCTACAGCTACTGCACACGGTGTTTCAAAGCAGGAACTTAAAAGCAGCATTCTTGCAACTGTCGCAAATTGTTGGCTGCCCCTGACAATCTCATTGATTTAAAAGGGATACAAAGCTGATTAGTACCTTGCAAAATCAGGCATATTGCCTTTTAATTTTGTCATCCAGGAGATTTTTTTTTTCTCCAGGAAACAGTAAATTAGATAGGCGTGATATGGACTCATTCCATATGGACAATTCAACTGCAGAAAGTCTATTTGCATATACTCGACAGGGTGTCTCTATCAGACTCTAAATAGCCAGCCTGTGCCAGAGATGTGTCTGGGTCCTCGAGTTTCTGCTGTTTTGGAGAATCCTGACTTCTCATTAAAATCTCCATTATGCTTAATACCTGACATAATTACAAAAGGAAAGGTAATTTGTGTGACTGCCTAATAATGACAACTAAATTATTTACCAAACTAGTTTCATGAAAAGCTAAATATCATAATAATTTTGAAATATTTGCATTGGTAAATCACATGGAAATCTGATAGTTAGCAATGGTAGTCTGGAAAGTATTCAAATATTTATTTATAAGTCATTGTAAGTTTTAGCAAAGCTTATTGTCGTTTGCTGGTGTTTTAGCACTGCATTACATGCTGAATATCTTGTTAAGATGTACACGTCCTTCTCCGTGTAGATGACAAGGCCAAAGAAATCTTTGCTATGAGGCTGATGTGTGTTCTTGTTATACAAACTGGTATTGTCATGGTTTTCACCCTTGCCACTTCAATTCATTCAAAGTTTGTCTGTCTTACACAGAGTCACACAACAGGGCACTGACAGGCACCCACTTGTTTCAAAAAGAGCTTTATAATTTACTGATGTTGATGTAATAGGTTATTTAAATGCCAAGAGTAAGAAGTTTAGCCTTATGTCTTTAAATGACAGCATTTAATTTTGAGGTAGCCTGTGCGTAGCACTACATCACGCTTCCCCTCCCCCTTTTCTTCACTTTTGCCAGATTCATCGATGTATAACGTGGTTAGCTCCATGACTATGAATACTGAGGTCACAGAAACCATACAAATACGGATAATGCAAAACTCTGTTCATTAAAGGGAAACATTTGCAGTTTGAGGCATTAAATATGGAAACGAACTATTGCCCTAATGCAAATAATTTTAATTTAACTCCATACTTTAAACTTCAGTGCTTGCGCCAGCCCATGCAAACACAGGGCCTCCTTGGTGGCTCTCCCTGAAGAGCCGAGGTGGTTGTGCTGGGAAGGGCGAATGTGCCTCCAGCCCCAGACCTCCTTCTCATCTGTGCTGTGTGGGAGTCTTTGCGGCTTTGCAACGGGAGCTTCAAACCTTAGACAAGAAACACAGCATTTCAGGTACAAATCGGAGCTGTGGCTCGGTGAGGAAAATAGGGGTATGAAAGTGAGGTGGGACCTCAACCATCTCCTTGAACCCCAGGAAGACCTCTAGCATTATGAGCAGAAGAAAGGGAGCTGGGGAATTGAGCATGAAACAGCAAAGCTTGTGTGGATGCAAGCACTATGGGGATACTCCATTAAAAGTTTAAATGCATTTTATAGGTGCCTTGTATTAAAAAAAAAAAAAAAAAAGCAGCATTCATCTCATTATTTATGGAGGCTCTCTTGCCATTAATAAAGAATGTTCTATGAAGTTACCAAAAATGCTGTCCAAATAGGCAGACAGCCTCCAGGTATCCTTCAGAGATTTTTCTGCATTCCCTAGCTATATCCACAGATACACAGTACATTTTTCTATTCTTCCACAATTTCCGTTTCTCTAGCAACCTTATTTCACATACTTTTTTCTCATTTTTGTTGCATTCCTTTTTGAAAACCACTGATGATCGTGTATCAAAGTGAGTGCAAAACCAGTTCCTATATGCTAACAGTGCATTTCCAGTCCCCTGTATCTGCCTTTTGTCTGTGTTTAAAACCCACCTGGCTGCACAAAGGCTTCCTATCAATTCAGATAGCTATTCTCCTCCACTAATCAATTAATCAGTTCTCCTTTTTCACCAATTTCTTTCCCAAATTCAGTGTTGTGCCAGTTCTTAACTTAGGTTGTCCTCCTCTCCGGTTCATCCATTCTCCTCTCTACCTTTACGGTCCTTCAGTTCAGTTCTCGGCCGCTCCTCCTCCAGGCTCTACCTTTAAACCTGCTCTTGCGTCACTTCATTTTTCAACTCTTTTTGTCAGATATACCTGTCCCAAAGTGGTTCACCCTTTTCTCCTTTCCAGCGCAGCATTTCACAGTCCATTACTTCATTCTTCAGAATTATTTGGTATTGTTCCCAGTTTACTTTCTCCGCTGAGTTATTTGATCTTTATCCTCAGCCAACCAAATAATGCAAAATAATCTGTACTCTAGCCAGAGAATTAATACCCAGCTCTCCTAAATTGATCAATTCATGGATTCCCTTACCGGAATTCATTGGTTTTACTCTTGGACTGTGCCCCACCCAGTTACTGAACCTGTCTACCTAATGGCAAATTATTTAGAGGCAAAAAAGCCATTTTAGGCAAATGTAATTTAAATGTGGATTAAAAAAAAAAAGGCATGCCAAGCACTTTAAAGGGCACAGAGCTTAAATCTTAGATTAACGAGGTGGATAGAGTGATCTTTAGTAGCATCTTTTTAGAGCTGTGACTTAAAAGAAAAGGCTGCAGTTTTCTTTCTCTTTTCTAACTGAATCATAAGGCTGAGAAAATCTATTTACTCTAATCTTGGGAAAATGGATTTCAGATGATTTGCATCATGCCGAGCATTTTGTTATGATAGAATTAATATTTAAACTCATGGGTTTAAAACATGAACAATGCAGTATTATATAGTAATGGAAGTGGTGGTATAAAAGTATGATCAATTATGATTTATCTTTCTAATCCCTAAGTATTATAATTGGGAGGTGTTTTGCCATTAAGTTTGCCTTTCTAGTTTTTGCGCTTTTTTTCTTCCATGAAATTTTATTATGAAACTGCTTGCAGTGTGCAGGGCTATTATCAACAAAGCAGCAAGGTGTTAGTCTGTAAATACTTAATAAAAAATTCAATTTCTCACGATATTTGCAGATGTAGATGAGTGCAGCAACGAAGGAACTGTTGCCTGTGGAGATCATGCAAAATGTGAAAACGTGGATGGAGGGTTTAACTGCTCCTGTAAGGAAGGTTATCAACCATCCACAGGAAAATTGCAGTTTAAGCCAAATGATGGCACTTCCTGCCAAGGTACATGATATTATAAAGGTTTATGTGTTATTATAGAGCTACATCTTCTGAGAAACCCACCAGTGCCTCTTTATCTTCAGATAGATTAATCAGCAAGACATGAAAAAGAGGCAAGGCAGCGGCATCTACATTTCCTGACAATAGAATCATTTTGTAAATGTATTTTTGCTAACCAGTGTGATGAAATCCATTTGAGATAATGGATACCTCCTCGTAGTTGTCAGATCTGTACTCCTCTGTAAATTTGAGCTGTCTCTTAACTTCACCTGTGGAAGACTCAAGGAAAGGGGCCAAACTCTACCTGAGTAAAAGAAAAGCTCAGAGTCCCATCCAGTACTGTAACTTTGGCCAGGATGAAGTCTTAGGAGCCTTAGTAGTTCGAGAATGGAGTGCTGCATCTTACATCCATAAATTCAGAATGCTGGTGGTTTGGGGAACTGCTTAGACGAGAGAGCCCTTACAATGGGTATATACTGGATATTGATTAAACTGCTATATATAATTAGTTTCTTTTTAATTTCTACAGAAAATCCAAAGGCCAAGTGTGAGTTATACAAAGACTGCATAACTGAACATATTAATAGAACTTTAGCTGGAGTAAGTAGCATTGGTTTATAGATCAATTTCCAAATCCTTTAATTGTTTCTGTTTGAAACTGTTATTTCAATTATAATAGTTCTTAAGGAGCTTTTAACAAATGCTTGAAGCATACAATTGAACTTAAGCATGTTTACAGAAGTCTTTTTAATAATTTCAAATTATTTGAACTGGGTTGTATGTTCAAATCGTGATAATAACTTGCTGGGAATCTGTGTGTTCTGTTTCCAGCAAAGTGAGTCATGATGCATGAAAAATTCAGAAGTGTGGTAATCACTCAACTGTTTCTGTAATTTCTGAGGTTACACATTGCTGCATTTACTGATGTGCAATTATTTGCTTGTTCACAGTGAAAGGCAGCAAGATAGCTTACAAAAGTAATGTCAACAAGTGACAAAATAGAAAATGGAGCAATAACATCCTGGTATGCTAGTATATTTACTCCTCAAAGCATAGTATGTAAAGTGGTACAGAATTTATAGACTCTCAGACTCTGGACTCAAGGTTTTTTTCACAAGAAGCAGAGATTCCTGAAGCAAATTAAAAAAAATATTAATGAATCCACTATTCATTACTCCACAGCTATAGTATTGTCTAATTTAAAAGGATAAATGAAACATAAGCATAAAAAAATTTAAAAAATGTATATGTTTGCATTTTATACTAAGCAGTTTGCCAGTTGCAAGATTCAGACAGATATTATTTTAAAGGCTTTTGTTTACCTAGTGTAAGATATTAGCATGCTTTCTATGTTAACCTGCAATGTAATACATTATATTAAATATAATACATACTTACCACATTTACGTGCAAAGACATGGTAAATGCCACAGCAGGATCTTAGAGTGAGATATTTTTTTTAAAATATGAAGTCAAACTAAACTTAAATGAAAGTAATAAGTCAAAATACCTCCATTTTCTGTAAATAACAGTGTGTCAGATTTTACCCTATTTTTTAGCCCATGTTCTAGTACTATGCAGCTGCAGTCAAAGACGAAGCAAGCCCCGTAAAAGCTGTTCAGCAGCAGAGACTACAGATCTTACAAAATCAGGTGTTGAGGGGGGGTTTTGGTGGATAAAATCTCGTTAGATTTCAGTATTGTGAAGAAAGAATTGTTCTCCTATTCAGCCATGAGACTGAAACTTGCAGTCTTAATCATCTCACCCTCTCTAGCCTGTTTTTAAACTAATTGTTTTATGTAAGTGCATTTAGCACTTCATAAACTGAAGCAGTGAAGGTGAAATAGGCAGTACAGTTTCACTAAACTACGTGTTTTATAATCTGCCTTTGAAAAAAACCAACCACAAAATATAGAAGTACTGCCCATCTGCTCCCACCTCTTCAGCTAAAATTTAACAGAAAAAAGTCAATGGAGTAACTATATCACTGATATTTAACTATTTTTGCAGACCATTTATTAGTTCATTTTGGAGCATTAAGATAAATAAAACTGAGCCGCAGTAGTGGAAAAAAAAAAAAGTATAATGATAGCACGACTTTTTTTTTTTTTTTTAATCATAATTGCTTGTTAGGGTTATATCAGACGTGTAACACTATTACTTTATAGGTCAGCCTGTTGATTTAGTTAGTGCCTCTTTTTATGCACAAGCATCTTAAAAGCCGGTATGTTAATTCACAGAAATCAGTCATTCGCAATGGGTTTACTTTCACTTGAAGAGATGTGACTTTACCTGTTTTGTTCAGATGTGAGTTCTGGTATTTTTCAGATCAGTCATTTAAAAACACCCCTGGAGATGCTGCAAGAAATTAATAAGAATACTTTGGGACCACTTTTACCTGTAGATGTGATTTCATATGTTGAAGTACTCTCTTACTCGTCGCTGAATACCATGCATTACTCTGTTTCTGACAATGAAGCACTTCATAACACAACCATTAACGTGAGTGGATCAAGCCTTAAAGTTGTGGGGCTTTTTCATGTTTTACAAATAGCGTATGGCTCTTCTGCTTAAAAATATTCATTTATTTACAGGTTTTTGTTAACACTGTGAACAATTTTTTACAAAAGGACAAACTTACAGCCTGGGAAGCTCTTCCCATAGATCACCAAAGACGGAGCCTGACTAAGCTGCTGCATACTGCAGAACAAGCGACGCTTCTCATGTCGCAGAACTTCAAAAAGACAACACAGCTAGATGCTAACGCAAGTGACATAGGTAAGATAAAGAAAATTAATCTAAGGTATGCTTTAGGTGTGGATTACACTGAGGAGTTTTTCAGCACAATTATGAAGATTAGAAATGGTGTTATGTGAAACACACAGGTGTTAATTTGTATGAGTTTCATAACTAACACCTGACTTTCAGTGTAGGTATCATCATTTTCAAAGATTGAACATTTGAGCCCAGAGCCCAGAAAAAACTTGAGTGGCTGTGGGAAGTTGTCCTTTTAGAGTCTCTTTCAATCTCTCACTATAGTCATACTGTCACAGTGAATCTGGATGCATCTTATGGGCACAAAATTATCCTATGGATCTTATATGCATAAAAACACCAGTGGAATGAAAACTGGATTTGCTCTATACCCTTTTTTTTACTCTTTTTGGTTCAGTTAAGGTATTGTAAATGACCTTGGAATAAGGATTGTACCTAGTGAGTCCAATCTTGCATGGTTTTATTTTCAGAGGAGGACAATTGGTGAGTTTCAACTGCACCATTTTGCTCTCTTACCTTGTTCCTGTGTGCTGGTGTCTTCACACCAACTCCCATGATTTTCCTGTGGTAATAATAGTTGTACCATTCCTTCAATGGGAGCAGAGTAAGGCTAATACCAGCTGCTTTCAAAAATCCTAATAAAGCATTGTTGATTCCTTTGGCAATGGCTATTCTTGCTTCTTTTTTTTCTTTTTCTGAATGTACTCAAACTGTACGTGACCTGATTTCTTATTTTAGATTCAGTACAGTCCTTCAGTGCCTCTTACTGGTTTGCTGGTTTATAAGATGACTTGATGAGAAAGATTCCTCCTTTGGTCCTGAGGCAGGTCAAACCATCTGTTCTTCCCTCACCTTTCTGAAACTAAATTAGCAAGAGTGCTGAAAAAATAGGGAAGGATTTGTCCATGACATAAACTTTGTAGAAGCAGATTTATGTTAGTGCGGAGCACCTCTGGGTGCGCGGCAGATGCGGAGAGGTCCCAGGAGCTGGTGGCAAAGGTCCTCTTCCCCCGCCACCCTGGCTGAGAGCAGAGCTCTCGTGGCCGCACACCTGAGCCCGTGACGGTTGAGAAGAGAGAGGATTCGGGTGCAGCCTCTGGTGGCAGTGTGGACATCAGTTAGACCAAGGTGACAAAAAAAGCTGGTAAAGAGAATGGGAAGGAATTTCCATGTTGAAAGACAGATAGTTTTTTGGCTTGCTTTTGTTCCAAAATGGGAAATTCTGGGAGCTCTTTTCCAAACTGGCCCCAAACACCAAAATTTTTTGTTACTGATTCTCAGCATGAATATATTTTCCACAGGGCTTGCACGTGCCCCATACATCTCTTTTGGGACAAGACCCACAACATTACCCCTATCTCTCCACTGTGTTTTATGGTGCGAGCTCTTGAGCTACAAGCTTTTCAAAACTCCAGCCACAGAAAACTATTTCTTACGTCCTGACAAACATTTTTCTGACAGCTGGTCTATTGAATAGCTCATACTATTTTTGTGTGCTGTGCTATAAGCAATGCAGATGGTCTAGCTTAGTGATATTCCTCCATCAGTCAAGTTTTAGATTTGTTTGTTGTTGTTTTGTTTTGTTTTTAAAAAAAGGCCTGATTGACTTTTTTTGTTCCCATCCCGGGTGATTGAAAATCAGCACTATAATGAACCAAGTAAAGAGCTCAATGTCCTCTAATGTAGTTTTTGTCCTGAGGGGTGATACTTGTTTGTTTGCTTTTTGACAAGACACATCATTATTTCATGGTGCAATGTGCATTTGGTAGCATGGATAGATAACTATAAAATATATACTTTTCAAAAATTGGCTTTTATCAAATGTTACTATTCAGTAGAGAATTTTATGCTTTGCTTTTTATAATTGTGATTTGTAGTCCCTTTCAGAAATGCATTTTTAATAAAGCAATAGCTCTTCCTAAAGTAACCTACATTATTCTTTCCAATGCCTAATTTAATGCAAGGTAAATAAAAGACTATATTTTTCATGGAAAGAGTAAAAAGTATGAGAGCAAAATGTATGCATGAAAATAACAAAACATAGAGGTTTAAGCAAACACACTATATTAATAGCATTTTTCTTGAAATATTTGGCACAATGATGTATTCTTAAAATTCACAGTAATTATGCAATCCAATAGCACATTTATTAACCCAACTGTAAATTATGGTAGACCATAATGGAGCTGTGATTTGTACAGTATTTTTCTTCTTTTGCAGCACTCAAGGTTTTTGCTTTTGATTCACACCACATGAAACACATTCACCCTCACGTATACATGGGGGGAGACTACATAAAGATCTCTCCAAAGAAGAGACAGGAATCTCATCCTAATGGTAAGAAAAAAAGGGTTAGAGAGTAGGTGTAGGTAGGTAATAAACACCTTGGATAGACTTGTACACAGTAATAAATAACCAAATCTGCAGTTTGCCAAGACTGAGCTTCAGCCCTGCTAACTACAGAGGACTCAAGGTATTTTTACCACCTGTTTTTATCATTTTGCCCCTTTATTGTCTCAAGACTAGTATTTCTAACATTTCCAATGGCACAGTGAGTACCCAGTGAGTTACTGGTCTTGGTACCAGAGACCTGAGGTTTATCCTTTTCTCAGCCATAGATCGGCTGTGGGACCTTGGACTGGCCCCTTCAACTCTGTCACTTCTCCTCCAAAAATCAGTGCATCCTTTCTATTCAGAGAGTGGCGCACTGGGGCAAGACCATGTATTCTTCAGTACCAAAACCAGCAGGGTCCAGATCTTGGCTTGGACCTCAGAGTGCTACAGAAATGGCTTACAACTACTGTCATCTCTGAAAATAGATAAATGTGTTTAAACAGCTCTGGAATTGAAACACCTAACCTAATAAACACAGACAAGATTTTTTTAAGTCTTAATCTTCCAGCTAATCTGAATCTCACCACCTAGCAGTACCTAAAAATATGGCTTATCTTGGCACCAGGGAGAAAAATCATGACTGTTTTTCAGATCAGCACTGCATCCTAAAATACCTTTTGCTTTCTTTTTCCTTATGTGTCTTCTACCCTGGCTCCACTGTAATGGAAGTCAAAACAAGCCAGGTGCTTCAGAGAGGCCCAATATTTACCTCAGGTCTGGGCCATTTTGCTTTATGAGACGTGACACCACATGTGTAGCCAATTGCAGAACCGCAGCAAACATATATTACTCTAGAAAAAAAAATGTATGCGTATATCTAATTAGAATTTCCAATGCGAACACACATTTTTATTTCTAATGGCAGTTACATAGTTTTAAATAAAGCTATATTTCATTGTCTCTAAAACATTTTTATAAGTATTCTACAAAGATTCCATCTGTTTTGCATATTTTATGCAATAGCAGTAATAATGTCGATTGTTTATTGTTTCCTTAATGTCTTCAATTTTGTTCTTCTATAAAAAAAACGCACAAACTACTAAACATGGTCTGTTTGATTGATAGGCACCGTTGCAGTTGTCTTTCTGCGGTATAGCAATATCGGTTCTTTGCTTTCATCACCTAAAAACCGCTCCTTGAAAGAGACTTCAGAGCAGAGACAGACAGTAAGCTCATCAGTTATAGCTGTTGCAATTAGCTCAAATCCACCTACGCTCTATGAGCTCGAGAAAATAATATTTACCTTAAAGTATGCCAAGGTAAGGGGTTTTTTTATTATCAACTTCAAATAAAGCAAAACAATAACTAATCATTTTATGTGATGTAACCATACCTACAGAGTATGATATATTGAGACATAATTTTATAGTTTGCTGATGAGTTTGTCATTTATTTCTCTAATAAGATTAATCTCAAACGTGACATCCTAAGTGCAATATACTAAATATGATACAGCTGAAAATTGCTACGGAACTAAAGCAAGGGCAACAATGCCATCTTTGCTGGGTTGCAGTATGAATGAAATGTAGATGCCTAAGCCAGAGAATATGACAGGATCTTGACTGTTCTGTGTTGAGGCGTCTTTTTTTTTTTTTTTCCCTGAAAGTTTATCAGATGGTTAGCATGCATACTAAAAAAAGTGCAGAAATGCTTTAACCTTAACGCAAAAAATTAACCTGCAGCTAGGAGGTAATAGCAGAACCTATAGTATTGCAACTTTGTTATTTCTGAAATCTGAACGCATATATTTAAAACTGAGAGTTTTACTTCCAGTATATATAGATTTTGCTGACTTCACTTGTATATGAAGAATTACCTTATGTGGCACAACAAATTATCAGAAACATAACAAGAAAGTGATTCTGAAGGGAGGTGGGCAGCAGGACAAGGTGCTCACCTTGGTTATGCAGCTTTTTAAATTTGTTACTTGCCTTCTAATATTTGAGCTAGAGATCACCTTTATATAAATTTGCATATATTTATACAGCCTCTAGTACAGTGGGGACCTTATCTTTGGCTAGTGTTAGTAAGCACTAACTGTAATAAATAATACTAATGGTCTTATTCATCGCTGTCATCGCACCTGATGTAGCAGGTGTGATATGACCCTGGCTTTATCCCAGATTACTTTGTAAAATGCACAGAATAAGTCTCAGTTTTTTGAACTGCTCGTTTGGAAGGGACTATGAGCAGGACAAGCAATGTGGCCGTAACCTTGGGGTTCAGTCCATGTTTAGCAGGTGCAGGGGTATATATAACAATGTTTTCAGTAGATAAAAATTCCAACACCTGTACAAGTGCCAGAAGAGTCCAGTAATCTGATTAGCCTACATGTTTGGTGGGGTGTTAGCTGTGTGGATGAAATGCTTCCATCCCCAGCTATGTTTTAATTGCTTGGAATAGGCCTTGCAGAATGTGCTTTTTGTTTCCCAGCCTTCCAACGGTAACAAGCAATTTTTAATGAATTGCGCTGGCTAACGTAAGAAAGGTCTCTTGATGGGAAATATCCTGCCTTTTGCCATCAGTAAAACATCTTGTTTCTGTTCCAGACTGCGGATAAAGATATTAAATGTGCATTTTGGAACTACTCAGCAGACACAATGAACGGCAACTGGGCTACAGAAGGCTGTGAGCTGACACATTCCAACTCTACTCATATCTCATGCAAATGTAATCATCTGACTCATTTTGCTGTTTTGATGTCCTCAGGTGGCTCTGTTGTAAGTGCTATTTTAATTTAGTGTTTTACCTGATACTTTCTCCTGTCTTCATTCCTTATGTTTTTATTTCAGTGCAACTTGTGCACTTTTCCCCCTTTAGGTTGTCTCTTGTTTTTGTTCAGCAAACACACAATTTATTGTGCACAGAGCAAACAAAATTCCTCCCATATGCGTTTGAATTTCCTTATGTCTTTTCTGCAGTATTACAGAGCAGTGATGCAGCAAAGTATCTTGTTCCAAATACACAGTCTGTTGTGCTTATTTTTGGTGCATTGCTTTTAATTTTAAATCCCAATTTAAGACCGCTGTGGGATTTAGCTGGCATTCATTGGTGGTCAGTAACCATATGGCCTTGAATTTCTCTCTCTCTAAACTTTGCCACCCATTAGTCTAACCTTGGCATCTAAAAATCTGCTTTAAATTCTCTCCTGAGAGTTCACAACAGCATAATCAATTTGAAGTTTAAGACTATTAAACATGGACACTCATGACCAGCACAAAATCGTGCAAATGACCACTCAATTTATGTCCTCCTTATATTAAGAGGCCCCATGGATTTCCAGATCCGCAGGAGCTCGGGTCTTGCCTCAGGAGGCAGCTTTATAAGGTATCGGAACTGACAGCAAGCAGAATATTAGCATGAATATACTGTATTGAGACAGTTCTCTCACACTGTGAATTTCATGCTGATAGAGGCTGTTTCCTGGTTGCTAAATAGCATCCTAACTCTTCAGTTCAAATTTAAAACCTTTGCAGGTACTTATATAGTTATTTTGAAAAGGAAGGCTGGGAGGAGAATAATCTCTGGTCCTTTATTTAGGAAAAAAAAAACCACCTTAGATCCATTTTATGGTCAGTCGAATACTATCCGTATGCTGATGCACAGTCATGTATTTCAGAGATTGTTTGTGCAAATACCAAGCAGCAAATGCAACTGTATTCCTATACAGAAAATATTTGCGTCTGATATTAAAATAGCCTGTGTTTCTTTGGAGAATGTTCATGTTACATATCTGGAATAGCATTTGTTTGAAGTGATTGTTATTTCAGAGTTGTTTTGATCATGTTGCAAATTCAGTAAGAAGGTTATTCAATTTTGCTTATCTAAGTCACTGCTGTGATAAGTCCTTTTATATTAGAAAATGTTCATGTCATATTAATATATGTCCTACTGCCAGTGTATTTGTCATTCACTAAAATGATCTGATTTTTAAAATCATATTAGGAGATACTGCTGTTAATAAAAAGTTTTGTTAAGAAATATCAGAAAATGCAAGAGCAGGAATATATACAATTCATTACTAATTTCCCCTAGAATTATATCTGTCTCACAAAAAAACAATACTTTTTAGATTATCTAAAGTGTACATTTACAGTGAAACTCTACAAACAGTTTTGATTAATATTTTGTAGAAAAGAAGAAAAGAACTGTATTATAGAATGAGGTCTTTCTTGAGAAGGTACAAAGCTATTCTTTTAAATATTATATTATAATTTTCCCCCAGGATGTTACAAATTATAACATTCTTACAAGAATCACTCAGCTAGGAATAATTATTTCGTTGATTTGCCTCTCCATGTGCATTTTTACATTCTGGTTCTTCAGTGAAATTCAAAGCACTAGAACGACAATTCACAAAAACCTCTGCTGCAGCCTTTTCCTGGCGGAACTTATTTTTCTGATTGGAATTAATATGAACACTAATAAGGTGGGTAGTTTTTGCTTGTATCTTGATTTTGTGTTGTAAGGTAAATATACAGTACAAGTTATGATCTTCCATCTGCTTCCAATATTTCCTAGTATCAGTATGAATATTCTAGGGACACCGACTTCCCAGTCCAGTAACAGGAAATATAAAATGGTCATTTAAAGAAGTAGGGTCTTCATCCACCATCCTCCGTGGATATCATTTAAACTTTGTCAGCTTAACCAAGACTGTGGTCTCAATGTGTTTAGCACTTTGACTTTTCACATCCATTTGGATGCGGTACAAAGCCACATTGGTGGCTCTCTGGGTGACAAGTTTCCCCAAAAGCCAGGCCAGAGCTGCAGTCCCAAGCTGGCATTGAAGGCATTGTGCTGGTGGCTGGAGGACCCCTTTCCTTTCTACATGTGAGGTCTTGACCCATCCCTGTTTCTTTTCATTAAGGTTGGGCTGTTGATTTTTGCATCTCAGATTAGTTTGAGGAAATTAAATTATGCATAAATTATCAAAATGCTCCTACTATAAGTAGCTGAATGGGATTTAAAATTACCTGAAAAAATACGAGCTGCTATCCCCGAGGTAGCACTCCAGTACTGATTGATTGAGCAATATCATTTTACAAACATTTTGTAGTAACAAAAGTTATTTCGGAAATAATTCCTTGTGATGCCTAATTACATTCTTGACCCGTCCCTGTTTCTTTTCATTAAGGTTGGGCTGGTTTGCATCTCAGATTAGTTTGAGGAAATTAAATTATGCATAAATTATCAAAATGCTCCTACTATAAGTAGCTGAATGGGATTTAAAATTACCTGAAAAAATACGAGCTGCTATCCCCGAGGTAGCACTCCAGTACTGATTGATTGAGCAATATCATTTTACAAACATTTTGTAGTAACAAAAGTTATTTCGGAAATAATTCCTTGTGATGCCTAATTACATTGTCATCAAAATCATAAAAATGAACTTTGTCTAGCTCAGGAAAGCATATAGACCACTCAGCTGTAACTACGGGATCAACCTTGTCAATTTGTTTATGCAGTTTTTCTGGGAAGACGTGCACCAATTTTAAAAGTTGAATGTAGTCTATGTTACCAGTTGCTACAGAAAACACTAATGAACAAGTGTGCTCGTGGGTGTAGGCCAAGTTCTTGTCACACAGCATTACCTCTGGGCTGCTGGACCACCACTTTAACATCACTAGGTTGCTGTGCATATGCTGTTATATTAACATGGACTTATTAATAGAATTATGACTCTTGCTTTCTCTGATTTAATTTCTAGCTCTTCTGTTCAATCACTGCTGGATTACTCCATTATTTCCTTCTAGCTGCTTTTGCATGGATGTGCATTGAAGGTATTCACCTCTACCTTATAGTTGTGGGAGTCATCTACAACAAGGGTTTCTTGCACAAGAATTTCTATGTCTTTGGCTATGTCAGTCCAGCCGTGGTCGTTGGAATCTCTGCCGCACTAGGATACAAGTACTATGGCACCACAGAAGTGTAAGTTGCTGTTTCTGTGTCTAGATCAACATACACCAAGGATGCAATAGTCACAATAGCACGTTTCAAGGCATTTTCTGCTGTTTACTTTTCAGATGTTGGCTCAGCACAAAGAATAACTTTATATGGAGTTTTATAGGACCAGCATGTCTAATAATTCTTGTAAGTATAATTTTCATTTTTTATTGTAGTACATAAAACCAATAATAAAAGGTGTTTAATAATCACCCACCCATTGCCAGCATAGCTGTGAGTGCTAATTATAGGGCAGAATTGGCTAATTTAGACCTTTTTATAGTGTCTCTAAATTATTTATATGCTGTACATCTAAATACTTTACTAGCCTGAAAAATTAGTTTGACAAAAAAAGCCCAATATAAGATCAGAGCTTTTTCCTTACTTGCTCGCTTGCTTTTATCCCAATGGTTTGAGAAATTCTGTGAAGCATTTCTGGTTTTTAAGAAATAGCATCTTCATATGTCGTTGCCATCTCAGCACGGCTCAGCAGGAGGTGTACACAGACACTATCCTAGCAGACAGATAATCTGGTTTTTCAAATGTTGTGTGACTTAATCTCTTATCAGTGATCGGTCATCTTTGTAAGATTAGACTGTCATCTTTATGTTTTTATCACTCGCGTGTACCCTGTCATCATCAAAGCTATTTTAAACTAAATTGCGACGTCAGAGAAAAGAACCCGCTATTTCACATGGGCAGACAAGTCAAGTATTGATAGCCCTATTTCAGCTGTGAAGAGGGCCTTTTTAATTCTTATTGGAAGTGGTTTCAAACCTGCAAATTTGGCAGGTATTATATGTTCAGTTCTGAATCGAGACATTTTTGGTGCCTCGGGAGCATTTCTAAGTGCTATGAAGTTTAACAAACCATTCCAGTTGTAATGGGGCATTATTGTGTATGACTGGGTTGACAGTGATCTGGCAATAGCTGGAGCTAACAGGAGGAGAAGGTACAATGGTGAGGCCTCATGACATCTATGGTCAAGCCAGTTATAACCCTTTGTTGCTTTTTAAGCTATTTGGTGATAAATGTGAGGATTTGTAAAGAAGAAGTGGCAGTGCCAAGCACACAAATGATGACAGTAAAGCAGTTTTATTTCAATGCATTAGCCATTTCAAAGCTGAGTAAAGTACCAGGTATAATTCTGGTCAAATTCCACCCCAAATACCTACTGTAGATTGGGGATAGGCTGGGAGCAACCCCTTTGCCTAAGTGAAGCCACACAAAGGAGCCAAGGCTGGACCACAAATCTGATTCTTGCACAAAAACATTAAACTCATTGTCAGCACAAATGCCCATGTACCCAAATAGCGCTTTCAGTTTCTGTGAACGGGGACCCAGGAGATAGGTGGTTTGGATTGCACTGTAGTACGCCTTTCAGACAGCACGTAAATGGTGAAGAACAGAACCGGTTCTGTACCAACGGATTTTCTGTCTCGGGGCACATTGTTTCAAACGCATCCTTGGACTTCAGATCTGCAGTAGTAGTGAGGCATAGGGAGCTGAAGTGTTTATCAGGAGTACAAACTAAGTTCTCCTCTGATTGCTTAAGCAGAAACACTACTTCTGAAGGTGTTTCCTTATTAATATTAAGGTTCTATTAGCATTCCTAAGTGCAAAGCAATGGCCTTATTGATCCCATCTGAAAATTATTATTATTATTATTAGACTGGTGACTGTACATGAAAAGGACTGGGTCAGAAGCTCTTTAGATGGAGTTAGCAAAGAAAGGGCATTTTAAACCTTTGTAAAACAAGCTGCAAGCTGAAGATAATTTCTACAACTTATTTCTTCCTCCTAATACTTGTAATCTTTAGAACCACAACCATTTTAGCTAAAACTATGTGGTAGATTAGATCAAAGCATACAAATATGGAGAAATTATTTATAACAAGTATTTAAACTTTTTAATAGAAAAGTGAGTTTATCACAAGCTTTAAGGGACAAACATTCATACACACCACAACCCATGCCTGATTGAGGCAAATACTAATATAAGCTCCAGAGATAAAACGTATGGGGAAAAAAAAAAAATCCCTAGAACGTTTTCTTTTCTTTTGCAATACACTCTTACAATAATAATCTTCCTGTAATCAGAAGTGTGTAGAAGGGAAGTAACCATTTGTCTGCAAGGTAATGTGGCTGCGGTTTTGATGACCATGTAATGTTCAGCTAACAACAAACTCCTTCCTGTTGTGGTGGACTTCCACGTGGCTTCTCCCACCTCTGGCATGACAGCTCACTCTGTTGAGTGGGAGCAGACCTATGTAAGGGCTTTATTCTGCATCACTGATGTTTTTTGAAACCTCACCTTTTAAACTCTGTGGACACAGGACAAATCCCTCCACTTGTACCTGTTGTGAGGGACAGTTATATATTTGATGCCCAACTGGCAGTAGAAATGATGTCATTTGGAAGGGTTGGGCAAAGACTATTAATGCTGTACTTACAGAAGTCTACAAGCTATTAAAAGGGAAATTTGGAAGAGAATTGCTGCTACTCCAAGTGCAGCTATGGGCAACTCTTCTAATGTACCTCTCTCCCACAATCTTCTCCCATTAAATCTGTTCAGTGGAGCTTCGTGCAGCAAGTTCGAAGTCGCCCATGATAACATGATTTGCACCTTTGCAGTATTGACAGAGTCATGCAGGCTTGACTATTGTACCCACTGTCAGTGCCACAATAAATTGGCATACCTCTGTGAGGAACCAGGACTCAGAAGTGTGACATGTTGTAACATTAACAGGTGCAATTTGCCGTTCAACAGTATAAATCTATCAGTATCATTTGTTGAGATCACCTCTGTAATAACAAAATACAGACTTGCTCTTTGAGGTTAGAACATTTCCAAAATTGAACATCATCCAAATAATCCTCTCTGTGGCTTTTATCCAAACATCCTACCGCTGTGCAGTGAGGAGGTGGCTCACATACGCTC